TAAATTAAACTGTGTTTTATAGAGGAGAAAAGAGTCTTGCTACTAGGGTGCTTGACTCCAGCCAAGAAGTGGTCTCTGCTTCATGCTTCTGACACTTCCTGTCATTCCTCCAGCAATTTGTTTGGTCTGATTTGAGCCTTAAAAGAAGTCATATGATCATAGAATATCCTGATTTGGAAGAGCACCAAAAGAATAATTAAATTTCAACTCCTGGCCCTGCACAGGATGACCTAAGAATCCCACCAAGTGCCTGAGAGCATTGTCCAAATGCTTCTTGAGCTCTGTCAGGCTTGGTGCTGTGACCAATTCCCTGGGGAACCTGTTCTGGTGCCCAACCACCCTTTGGGTGAAAAACTTTTTCCTAATATCCTAGGAGCCTAAACCTTCCTTGAGAAGACTCCATGTCATTCCCTCAGGTCCTGTCACTGGTCACCACAAAGAAGAGTTTAGAGTCCTGCTCTTCTTCCCCTCATGAGGAAGTTGTATCTGCAGTGAGATCACCCCTCAGTCTCCTCCAGACTGAACAGACCAAGTGACCTCAGCCACTCCTTGGATGTCCTCCCCACCCATCCACCTTTCACTATCTTTGTGGCCTTCCTTTGGATGCTCCCTAATGGCTTTATACCTTTTTTATATTATGGTACCCAAAACCACCCACAAGACTCTAGGTAAGACCACCCCAGTGCAGAATAGATTGGACCAATCACCTCCTTTGACTGCCGGGCAATGTTGTGCCTGATGAACTACTAATAATAGTAATGCCATGCCAGCTTTGATGACTGTTCATGTTTACATAATTAATTACTTGAAATGCAATCAAATTATAGTTAGCTTTAGCCTCCTTTTAGTAAAGAATAAGACCTCTTCTACTAACAGAAAGAAAATTTCTATGATGCTGAATTTGCAATGTGCTAATAATATATCTAATGAAGATAATCTTAGAGTTTGAAGCATCAATTATCTATCTTAGAAATAATACTTGATTTATTCCATATTTTTAACAATTGCATTATATTGTATGAACCCCTGTCTATGTAGAGCAATAAACAAAGTATCTTGAGATCCTGGTTGGACTTTCTAGATGCTGTTTAGTAGAACAAAGTTCTTCATTGATATGTAATAAGATAGTTGCTATAAAAGGATGTAAAAATAGAGATTATTCAGATGTGTAGTAAAACCAACAAATAACATTTTTTTAATCTCTTTTTTTTTAATTTCAGCTTAGATTATACTCCTGCATTGAGACTGTTATGCATCACAAAGTGTGTCAGTCTTTTTTATTTCCTTTTTTTCTTGAATGGAGTTGATATTATTGGAATCTCTCCAAGCTAAACAATTTGAAGTAGCAAGTTGGTTCAGGGTAGGCAAAACAATTTACCAGCATGGGATTTTTTTTCATTCAAGGATGGCAGGAATAAGAAAATTCTTCAAAACTGGAACAGGGGGACAATTCTTTTGCTTGTCTTTTGACACTCATGTTTTTCCTGGCCTCACCTCAGCATGACATTACAGTGTTTACAACTACCTTGCTGTGCTTTACAACAAATTAAATTCTATTCCTTAGCCTGAAATACACTATTCTATAGTTCTTTCTGAAGAATCACAATTATCACAAGTAATTGTAAAAAGTTTACAACCCCACAAGAAATAGTACAAACTTCACAAATGGCTTCAGGTCCAGTGGTGCAATAAATCTACAGAAACTAAAGGGTAATAGGCAGAACAAAGTTGTTGGAATTTGGCCCACAGTAACTTCAGTGTAGCTGCTCATATGAGTAAATGTTTTCAGAATTGAAACTTTCTCATTTTGTGAAATAGAGTGATCCAAAAACCCTGATCCCATACTTAGCCATTCTGGAAGTAAGCTGTGTAAGGGAAGAGTATGTCACTTCTAGATACTCTAGGTTCTTTTCAGTTCAATATAACAGTATACAACAGATTTTTTTTTTTTTTTAAGCTAGTTGCACCATTATTCACAATTATTCAAATAAATAGACTTTATAAATATACTTTAGCTTCTTGGACATAAGTGATGCTGCATATTCATATTTGTAATCTCAGGGATTACTTCAAAATTTTTGCTGAATATGTTTCCTGCTTCTCCTTTATGGGACATAAAGTAACTTCTACACATAACCATTAATTGACAGTAAAAGTTTTCAGTTATGTGCAATAAAAATATTCAAAACAAACAGAACCCTCTCCAACAAATGATCAAAAAATAGATTGTTAGCAGCTCTGTATCATTAAAATGGTCTACACCAAAAATAAATTAATTCAATAATTTTTTTGGTAAAAAGTCTAGGAACTAGCTGTATCTTTGTATTGCAGCTTACTGTGTGGTATCATAGGAGGAAAGAGCCCCCTATTGGCTTTAAGTTACCTAAGGAAATAAAAACAAATTTCACATTATGTGACTTCAACCTGGAAAGGAATGCAACATTAATTTCAAAAAGATCAAATTAATCCTTTGAGAAAATGTGACATAACTGATTCAGTTTAAAGTGTTGCAAAAAGTCCAGATTAACATTAACAACATCAAAGACCTGAAAGAAAATGCACTGCTTGTAATATGCAAATTCTTAACTCTCTCTCAATTGTGTTTTTTTCATGCAATTTTTTTCTGGATCTGGCAAAAGATAATGAAAATATTTAATTTGGAAATTAATGACATATCTTATGAGTAGAAAAATATGAATGTAGGCTTAATTAATTGTTTGGGTTTCTGATTCTCTTTTGAGCTTTAAATAAATAAATTTAAGGTTCAAGTGAAATATTCCCATTGCAAAAAGAAAACTTAACTTTTTAGTGTTATTTGCAGTTTCATGGCTTAGATGTAACCTGAATAGTAACAGACATTAATCTCAAGGGAAAAAATTTGCTGAAATCGCAGAATTACTGTGATTTTTTTTTTCTAGTCAGAAAATTATAAGGTGTATTTAAAGAGCACAGTATAGTGAACAAGACTTTTCAGAGAGAAAAGAAAGATTATATGAGCTGTTGGAAAGCTTTTGAGCACATATAAAGGACTTTTTTTGCTAGTCAAACTGCACATGAAATATACTGAGGCAGGCCTTAAGCTTTGCAAGAATACAAAGTGAATTAGACATTCAATTATCTTAGCTCTATATAAAATACTGTCTATGTTTGGTAAATATAGCTCTCAATACCCATGTCTTTGTCTCAGTGTTAATATTTTCAGTCAGGTAATTAAAATGTAAAGGGTTTCCTTCCATTATTTATGGTCAGATTCTGCACTCTGACTCTATCGTCAATGTATGCTGTGCTCACCTTTGGCAGTATTTTATGGAGTAAAATACCACACAATAAACCTATGGTGGCAAAATATGCCCCCAAGAGAATTTCTGGCTACCTGGAAAGAGTTTTCGAAGGAAACAAAAATTGCTGACATTTGTGTATATAAAAAATGACATAAATACTATTCATATAGAAGATACAAGGTATTAAAATACCACAGATGCTATAGTTTAAGTAAGCCTTTAGTTCAGGGTCATCAGTTTAGTTCCTGTTTTGACAATGCTTATTCATATGATACTTCATGGAAGACAAAACTTTCTCTTAAGTATTGCATATTTTATCCACGTGGTCACCTAGATACCCCCTTCAAATTATTGTTAGTTTATAAAATATCTCTCTATCTTCCTAAGGTCTTCAATTCTTATATGTCTTTTAAAAATGATAAATAATTATTTTGGCAACTCCACTTCTCATTTGGGTTTTTCAGAAGTCATTAATTATTTAAGTATGGTGTTTTATGGAAATTTATTAAAAATGTCTTGGTAAAGGAAGTGAAGAAAGTACTTTTCTGTAGTTGTGATTCTTTAGTCATTGGATAAATTGGATTACACATAGATCCACCTCCTAGCAGTAAGACCTTGCTATAGGCAGTTTCTTAACTAGCCAAAGCATTGAAACAGTGTACTTGACTGAGTCAAAGTCTACTTAAATGCTTGCATTAATAGATTGATGCCTCTACTTCACCCAGAGGGAATAATCACAATATCTGGCATATGAAAAACTCTGTAGTATGGAACAAGGGGCAGAGTGGTACATGTTGTCACAGCTGAAAGGAATATGCTGCTAATGAAGGACCTGTCTTAGCGTTATGCTCCCATGGCCTGTAAGCACCCAGTCAATCAACTTCCTGACATACTTCAAATCCAAAAGCTGGGTTATTTCAGATATAGTCTATCACCTTCAAAATCACACCAATCTATCAGAATCTATCACCTGTGAAAGCATAACCATTTAAAACACAGCTGAAGGAAATACATAGAAACTTTATGTGCAGCTCTGCAGTCAAGAGACAGTAGAGTCAATGTCATACCAAAACAGGCAATCAGTCCGTGGGATGGCTGCTTCAAACATACAGCACAATGTAACAGAATGTCCTAGGTTTCATATTTCAAGTCATAAGCCTTGATTTTTGCTTTGCAGGCAGAATGCTAGCAATAACTACTATATTGATAAAAAACAGAACTCTAATGATAAAATATTTTAGGCTGACCGTATTTGCTCAGCAGTGGCATGCTTGCAGTAGAAAGACAGATACTGTTTCAAACTGCTGACAAGCACTGAGAAATCCTTCAGGTAAATTCTCTCTCTACCTGGCATCATAATATGTACATTAATGGATCAATATGAGAGAGCTTGTGTGCCATTATTACTCCAGAGTGTTTAGCATGTGGGGGACAAGTTACATTAGAACATCATCCAAGTAGTTAGAAATAATATTTTCTGTTTGTTTCATTCCATTCACCTAAAGGGTTAAGCATGATAAATGCAATGCAAACACCATGTCCTGTGAATTTTCTTTAGGTGTACATAACAATTGAAACATATAGTCTGTGAGTGAAAGAAATACAAGTGCAAAAATGCATTCTGAGAACAAATGCCAAAGCTTGTATTTAACATGCAAAGATACATAAAGAATAATTCCCTTCTTATCTGCTCAGAAAAACAAATTATAATTTCCTTACCTGGAAGATCAAACTCTGTATATCATCAATAATATGAGGTAAGGGGAGAGAATGAATTTTTGTCATCCGTAATAAGCCTTTCTTCAGAGAAGCAGAACATGAGAGATGTAATTGTAAGTGAAAGGAACTATTCCAAGATCCAGTCTGTCATCAGTTGCACTGGCTTAGAGCTGGCATCCTCTTGCAGATGAAAAAAGGGTAGCTCAGCAAGCTCTCCACGGAAGGAGCTCGATATCAGTGTTATCAGGCACCAGCTGTCACACACTGATGCTACAGTGGGTACAGTCTCCCTCTATTGCATGCTTTCTCTCACTTGCTCTCCCTCTCACCCTGACGTTCACTCAGCTCTGAATCTGAGCTCCTTCAGCTGCTGTATAATCAATCTAGCCTGTCTCAATCTAATAGGTCTCTCTTTAACCAGCCAATCAATAGCACAGATTCCACTGCTTCTCCCCAGGGTCGTTACCAGGAGCAGTACAAAAAATAAGAGTTTGGCCAGCAGTTTAACTAAGTATTTTTCATTATTTTATCTCTGTTCAAGAAAAATTGTTTAGGAGAGACCAGGTTCAAAGCTATCTTTCTCCCTGTTTTTTGTGATAGTTACATAAACACGCACATTGCACTGCAGTAGTATTCTGAACACTTTAAAATTTTTACCCATTTTACATGTTTTAGAATGCATATTTAAAAACAAAGGAAATAAACACACACACACACACTCCCCACATGGTCCACTCTAGAAATGAACCTGCATCCAAGCCTCAGGCTTTGTGTTCAGAAAAATCATGGGGTGTGTTCTGTTACTGGAATTGTTTATGGCAATTGTGGAAACTTAACATAAGCCAAGAATCATGAGAAATTGGCTTCACACACTGTGTTCCTAACCCCTGTCAGCTTGAACTAACTTCTTTCCTACACTGTGTTTCACCTTGTGCATCTTGTGGGAGGTTGTGTGGGTTTTGTTCGTTCTTTCTTTGGAGGTCTTGTTTATTTTTTGTTTGCTGGGAGGTTAGTTGTTGTTTGGGGCTTTTTTTTAAGCATTTATATGGAAACATCATAGATTCAGATACAAGAGGTGAAGATACAGTATCTATTCAGAAGATTCACATGGGACAGCTAGAATAGCGGTCAGAATTAACTGGTAGCAGCAAATATCTGCAGTATGCTACAAGCATGCCTTATCTTACTCTGCACTTCACTCCCCATATATACAAAAAATAGACTGTGCTTTACTAGGTAAAAATAAAATTTCAGGGAGTATATTGTGCAAAGTAAGTATTTTTATGCAATAGATTGGCACTCTTTTTCCATTTTTTAAAATTTAATTTTATTTCATAATTCAGGGACACTAAGGATACATAAGGACATTGATTTAAGGCCTGTTCATTCTGATTGCAGGTGAAATTATGAACTAAATCTAATGCTCAAGCAAACTGTGGGAGAATACAGACCATCCTCTGAAGTCCAGAAGGTAGGTTGCATCAGTCACTTCTATTTGCAAGCATCATGTTTTTATATCTTATCAAGTGTGATTCTCTATGAGAAATAGTTCTTTCACTATTTCAGATTCAACTAAAAAAGAGGGAATATATGTGGTTCCTACGTTGTGATTCCAAAAATAATCAAGGTAGTTCTTCTCTGTCCAATGATCAAAGGTATGGAATATGCATATGGGATATGCAGCTTCATGAGACTACATCTTGTGAACATCTAATAACAAATAGCAGATTTGCCTATTCCTAGAGATTCCTTTGATAAATTTTTCAAAGAAAATAAAAAGTCAGGATTCAACATTTTACACCTTTCATGGGAAATAATTAAATGGGCTTTCTACATTGCACATAAACACTGAATCTATTAATTATACAATTGCTGAGTGCATAATTCAGGTTTCAAGTTCTGCCATGTCTTAACACATTCTTAAAATTCTCAGACTACTCACAGGCTTGAAATTAGGCACTGCATATTCAGCTATTCAATGTAGAAACCTAAAATATTAATTCTTTTTAATGATGCTTAAGATAAGTCTTTTTTGACAGATGGGGGAAAAAACTATATATAAGACTTGTTTCAAATTCTCAAATGTAAATACAAGACTACTGAGGATAGATTTTGTCAATTTTCTTTCATATTTCCTTAGAAAAATTCCCTTTCAAATCTGGAAGGGCATGCTTAGGAAAGAAGCCAAGGTACAAGCTCTGAGAGATAAAAAAGATAATGATACTTAATTCTTTGGTTCTATATGGTATTTGTCACTATTCCTCAGTGATGCTAAGCAATAGGACAAGAGACAATGGGCAGAAAATAATGAACAGGAAGTTGCCCCTGAACATGAGGAAAAACTTCTTTATTGTAAGAGTGATCAAGCACTGGAACAGGTTGCCCTGAGATTTTGTAGAGTCTCTCTGAGTGGAGATATTCAAGAACTCTCTGGACACAATCCTGTGCCATGTGCTCTAGGATGACCCTGTCTGAGCAGGGAGGTTGGAACAGATGACCCACTGGGGTCCTTATCTTCACAGAATAGGAAACCGTTACAATTTAATTAGATTATTTTATCTATTTTAAGATATAGAAGATAGTATTTAAGTTTTAGAGATACTCAATTCCGTTTTGGTAAACATGCTGGTGAATAAGAGAAGCTAAAAATATCCATTTATTAAAGACTTTGACTTCAGCCATGAAAGTTATGTATACGAATATGATATAATGCAATGCATGTCCATAAATCACAATATACCTTATTTTCTATCTGAATGCTTTAGTGAGCTTCAGGGTGAACATTGTTATAAAAGTGCAAACTAATTTAAATGAAATTTTTTATTGTCATCACTGTTAATATTTATAATATCATTGTTTTCTTGGTCAGACAAATAATTCACTAAAATATGATGCAAAATTAAATATGTAACATTTCTAGGACTATATTTGCCTTCTCTATGTAAAGATCATCCACTCCAAATTTTTTAACATTTGTCTGGGAATTTATCAGATCTACTTTAAATTTATGTCTCTCTATGATCTATTTAAGACAACAGGAATTGGTCTTTTTTACAAAATTCAAACCTTCAAAGGGCCACACTGATGTTAGTGAATGAAATGTTAGTGAGTGAAAAAGCCCACTGAAATGGAAAAGCTCATAACCAAACACCTAGAGGTTTTTCTTCCTCAGCAAACACCAAAATATTTATCTTTTTCTGAACATCATGTCCACATCTAATCTACTTGGAATGGAATACTTGTAATAATTTCTGAATTCTGCATAAGCATTGTTTGGTAGAGTCAGGCTGGGTCAAGACTTTCTTAGACATTTAAAATACAGATAATTATTTCACCTGTGTACAAATTCCTGAGTCCCAGCACAATAGAATTAAATTTTTCTGAGCTTTTCAGTAAAACAAAAAAACTAATAGAAATACTAATAGAAAAACTAATGACTGTATTTAAAAGTAAAAGTATCTTCATGAAAATTCACAGTTGCCATAGGGTCTCTAGCTTCAGGAATTAAATATTTGCATGGAGACCTAATTCTCATTGGAAATAGTTTCTGTTCCCTAAAACACTAATAGTGAAGTCTGAAAGTGACTTATATAGAGAAAGAGTAGCCTGTATACATTACTAGGATACATTTAATCCACCACTACAACCTTCAGCCACTGACTGAAGTTCCCACATGACAACTGATTTTTGCTTGTTTGTTACTTTTTTTTTTCAAATTCAGAATGTTATTAAAAGGCAATAATTAAATTAAATTAAATTAAATTTACTTTCTTCATGTCAGTTTTTTTCCAATCTCTTGTTACCCCATGCCTGTAATTTGGAGCCTCCTAGGTACCCACTTCTCTAGGCTCTCTTGAGCTATCTTACATCATCCTGGTGGGTCCAAAATACCTAAGTCTAAACAAAATAACTATTTGAGGCTACTATGCCTATAAAACTAAGCTTGCCCTATAAAAAGGTAAATCAAAGAAATTATCTGGGGAATAAAAAAAATCTGCAGTAGTTAACCTAGTTAAAACAAAGCTGAGGTTCAAAGTCACACAAAGTCACACTAAGTTGTGAGGAGCAGCAGTTTGATATAAAATCTGAGACCTGCCTCTAGCAATAGCCACAGTATATGATGGGACTGCCAATAACAGATTTTTTCTGACAAACCATATTCTATAGTTTTATTGTTTTGATACTGAAGCCTTGCAAAACACAAGCAAATTAAATGTGCTGTTATTGTATACAAGACCAGCTCCCAGTGCAAGAGACACACAGTGAAAGACCTTTCTCTAGCACAAAGCATTGTGCAGCAGCCTCAGAAAATTGTAAACTTCTGGTGGGGAGTAAAGTGTATTTTCATTAAGGGTCAAAAGATGGAGGGTCTTTCAGTGGCATTATGCTAAGCAACATTGTCCTGCAAGGCTTAGAAGGACCAAACTGGGAAAAAAAAATTGAAAGGAGAAGTGCAATAGTACAAATGTTGAGTTTGTCAGGAATTTTGAATGTTGCTTTTCCTGCAGTAGTATTCCCTACTGGATGATGTCCTACATAATCTTGAGCCATTGATGACATTTCCCTGCACTCATTTATTCTCCCCTATTATTGGTTTTGTTGTCAAATAAGAGTTATGTATTTTGATTAAATTCTTGTCATTTGGAGCTTGATAAGAACTGTTTGTTTTGAGTAGTGTATTATGTACATTTTCATACCTTTTCACAACAAATTCTTAAAAATAAGGTATTTATAGACTGTGCGGCTGCCAGTGTTCAACTTTTTCTGGTTTTAAAATGGATATAATGGATATTATTGTTTCTGCTGGGTAATGTATAAACATTAAATTTCAGAAAAAAGTCTATATTGAGGAAAATTATTTAAATTTCTTTATCTTTTATTATCACCAGTGGCACTGCAGTAATGGTAGTTGAGATGCTAGCACTGTGCAATGCTTACTTACAATACACAGTACAGTCTAAAGGATTATTTTAAATTGCAAATGTACTTACTGCACAACGAGGAGCAAAAGATCATTAATGTTATAGTACAAATGTTATTTCTCCCTAAGCTTCTGTGAAATATATATTGCAATTTGTCATTGAATAAGGCCCACATAATTTTGCCTATATGCATTGAAAAACAGATACCCTAACAGTTTTTTTTGTTGGGGTTTCAAATTCTGACAAACAGGCCTATCAATAAGATTTAGCTTTAGCCTGTGAGATTTCTGTAATCCAATATTTAAACTCACAATATCCTAATATTTATCTATTGAACAATGGAGACAATAGAAAATGCTCCAGGAACAAAGAGCAAGAGAAGCTGATAAAGCACAGCTAATACTCAGAATTCAGCTCCATATTATGTCAT